TAATGTGTTGCACTCTAATCAACTCTGCCAAGCTGTGGATGCTGGTAGAGATAATTTGTCATTCAATCGTCTCTCTTAACAAGTTTTGTATACAATCACGTAGGCTTATATAACCAGCTTCCTTTCTCTTTCGCCACTCAGATTTAATTTATAAGTCTTGCCTCTCCTTGCCTCTCCTTGCCTCAGTTACAGAGAATGTTCAAAGAAGGAACTAAGCAAACCCATTTTTGAGCTTATCTTTTTCGGTAGATTCCTTCCAATTTCAACCATTTTTCTTTCATAACCAGATTTAACAAGAATAAGGTATGTATATGCTATGGTAATCTTCCCGCAAATCCTTTAATTTTAGTGAGAGATAATATATATGTTTGAACTAGACTAAAAAGGTAAATTTAATTTATAATCATAAATTGTTTGTAAGTAATATATAAGGTCAAGTTTTTAACAGTGATTTTCTTTTAATAGAAGTATAATTAAATAATATAATATGTGAATGAGATGGTTTATTTATTTTTTAGTTGAGAGGAATAGAGGGGAGGGGAGGAGAGGGATTCCCTCCCCTCCCTTCTCCTCATTTAAATAAATAAATAAAAATTTAAAAAATAAAGGAAACTATTCCCATCCTCTTCCAATCCCTCCAATTTTTTTATAATCAATGGAAAAATTTTTTCCTCTCCATTTTTGTAAGGATAGGTCCAAAGTGCCCAACCTCGGACGTACAATAGTAATTTTTTATAACCGAAATATTGTGGGATTAATTTTCTCTGCCTCTGGTTTTCTGGGGTCATCCACGCCAGTATGACAACGATCGCGAGCCCCACGACGGCCAACCCGCTTCGTCTTTCTCTCTCTCTCTTTTTTTTTTTTTTTTCTTTGGGATCTCTTTCGCTAAGGTGATTTCTTTGAGAAAGTGAAGGGAAACGGGAAAAACCGTTGGACAGGCGGTGCAGGGTGCGCGGGCGGTTGTTTTATTTTATTTAGCAGGAGGCTGCTGAAACGTGAAAGGACGATTTGACACAGCTTGTATTATTTTCTTTCGTTTATTTAAATTATTTTTTGGTTATACTTTAAAAAAAAGGTTTTTTAAGTAGTTTTTTTTAGGACATGTTTTTATTTTATTTAGGTTAAAACTCTTTTTTGGTCCCTGAACTATTGTACGGACCCTCGATTTGGTCCCTGAACTAAAAAAATCTCTGATTTGGTCCCTACTGTTTACCATTTTTACCCCGATTTGGTCCTTACGTTAAAAATCTAGTGACGTGTGCTATTAACTAACAGGAACATGATGACATGTCATCTAATAATCCACGTGGAAGATAATATAGTCAAAAAGTGATGATGTGGAAAAAATAATAATATAAAAAATATTATGAAAAATAAAATTTAATTTTTTTTCTTTTTTCTTTTTCTTTCTCCTTCTCTTTTCCCTTTCCCTTTCCCTTCTCTTTCCC